TAATTTATGTTAATGTAGTCTAGTCTCGTGTTAGTTGAGAATATGGCGGATTAAAGCTCACATCTTGATGACTTAAATCTCTTTAATCTACTTCATCTTTATATTTTATCTGTTAACGACCCACAAATCAACATGGTGGCGCTGGCGGGATAGACTATGGCGACTGGTAATTTTCGGTTACCGCCTCAACTCGATATAAATTCTGGAAATGTCTCGGAAAACTACAAGCGATGGCGACGACAAGTCGAAATCTATTTAGCCGCATCTGGAGCTACTGAAAAGGAGGGGAACAAGCAGACCGCAATCATCTTGATTTGTGCAGGCCCGGAAGTCTTAGAAGTATACGAGAATCTCACATGGGCAAAAGAAGAGGACAAAAATAACCCTAACGCTGTCCTCGACGCTCTTGAGAAATATTGCAATCCACGTGACAACGAAGTCATGGAATCTCACAGATTTTTGAAGATCGAGTACCAAGAGCCGTTTGACAAATTTTATACCGAACTTCAAACACGAATCACCGCTTGCAATTTCGCCGAGAAGGACCGTATGTTGAGAGACAAGATCGTGTTCACAGTCTCCGGAAAACTACAAGAACTGCTACTCAGGGAAGATGCCCTCACTCTCGAAAAAACTTTAAAAATATGCAGAGCCTTCGAGCAATCGAACAAGCAAGTTAGAGAACTCAAAAACAACTCTAGCAGCGCAAGTACAACGAATTCTTCATCTAACTTAAATAAAATCTCAAAGAAACCCAAGTCAAGGTCACGTGATACTCGACAAAGATCAAGCTCCGAAAGCATGTCAAAGTCAGGTACTGACAGTTTGCAATTCAATTGTAAATATTGTGGATATAAGCATGAAAGGAAGCGAGACAAATGCCCAGCCTGGGGTAAAACATGTGACAATTGCAAGGGACGTAACCACTTCAAATCCAAATGTACAAAGAAATTACATGCTGTTGTATCTCAATGTGACAGTGATCTCGACGACGATCCCGATGATAAATGGCTCATGACTATCGGTGATGATGGAAAAGGAATCACTGCAAATCTCTCTATAAATTATCATCTCACAACATTTCAACTTGACAGTGCTGCTGATGTCAACATAATTTGTCAAAACACGTCAGAAAGCAACAAATATCTCCAACAAAGGTTCGTCTGAACATGTGGAATAAGACAGATCTCAAGCCTCTGGGTGAAACCTCTCTGACTGCAATTAATCCAAGTGACAACTCTGAGCACCAAGTCAAATTCATCGTTGTTCCTAATGGGTTCACCAATCTCCTTGGTCTTAATACTATTCAGGAACTTGGTTTTATAACCATTAATAACAATGCCTTTATCTCGAATGTGTCTACACCTCAACTTGGTGATCTGGGAATGGCTACACTTAGAATTGATGAGTCGATACCCCCAACTGTGCTTCCGTGTCACAAAGTACCTTTATATATAGAAGATGATGTAAAACAGGAACTTGATAGACTTGTTAATAAAGGTGTTCTTGAACGAGTCATCGAACCTACTGAATGGGTTAGCCAAATGGCCATCGTTCACAAAAGCAATGGRAAATTACGAATCTGTATCGACCCTCAACCACTCAATGTTGCACTTCAACGTGAACACTATCGACTACCAGTACTAGATGATGTACTCCCGAAGCTTAAGGATGCCAAAGTGTTTAGCAAACTTGACGACAAAGAAGCATATTGGCATGTCCGACTTGATGAGCGTTCTAGTAATCTGACTACRATGATAACTCCATTTGGCAGATACAGGTGGAAACGACTTCCATTTGGTCTAAAAGTCTCTAGTGAAATCTTCCAACGGAAAATTGACGAAGCTCTTGAGAATCTTAAAGGTGTATTCAACATTGTCGACGACATTATTGTGGTTGGTTGTGGCGCTACTGAGTCTGACGCACTTCAAGACAACCAGAGGAATCTCTCCTCATGTCTCGAACGTTGTAAACAAAGCAACATTATTCTGAATGAAGACAAACAGGAAGCTGGACTTAAGGAAATAATATTTCATGGACACAAAATCACAAGCAGTGGTGTGGAAGTTGACAAAAACAAGGTCAAAGCTATTCTCGATATGCCTGCTCCCACTGATGTAGAAGGTATAAGACGTCTATGTGGTATGGCGCAATATGTGTCTAGATTCATACCCGATCTGGCAAGTTCACTAGAACCCTTGCGAAACTTAACCAGAAGGAATGTCCCATTCATGTGGTCCAAAGAATGTGAAGATGCATTTGATACACTGAAACACAAACTCTCTGACGCTGCATGTTTAGCCTACTTTGATCCAGCGAAAGAAGTTGTTATTCAAGTCGACAGCAGTCAACATGGCATAGGCGCAGTTCTACTACAAGATGGCCGTCCCATTGAATATGAATCACGCGCATTGACCCCATCTGAGAGGAACTGGGCCTAAATTGAAAAGGAATCCTTGGCTGTACTGTATGGCTTGGAACGATTTGATCAATACACATATGGCCGAACCGTCACCGTAGAGAATGATCACAAACCTCTATCCT